ATTTTTGTCAGTATACTCGAGTCAATCTATGATTTTTTTCTTAGAGATGACGTGAGTTATAATTTCAACTGTATCTTGTAATTTTATATTCTGACGAATAATGGATGCTTAACAAACGACGACATAATTGTACATAGCTTGTGTACAACGAAAATTTAATAAATATACACCATCCACAGACAAGTAGCATCAGAAGGGCCTGTCCCCACCTTTTCCACACATTTCTTTTTACTGTTGGAAATGTTCATTGAAAGGCTTGTTGCCCCCCCCCCCCCCCCCAGTACAGTCAAATAAGGCTAATGTAGTAATGTATGTTAAAAAAAAAGGTACTGAAAGAAGGGTTTTTTTGCTTGTCAGTTTTTTTCAGGTAAGTTGATTTTTTTTTCTCTGGCTGCCCCCCCCCCAAAAATGATGCTACATGTACGTCTGTGTCCCTACCCAAATGCATAATTTGCAGCTTTTATAATCCACATATCTATACAGATATAACATATATCATGAAAGGCAGCCGAAAGATAAATTAAGTGTAGATTGCAACATAATACATCATCCAAGAAGATACTGTCTATCATATGAATGCTCATTTATTTCTTTTGAAGTGATATTTCACATAAAAAAAACCCAACCCTTCTTTTTTTATGAAGTTACTTTTTTCTTTTACTAGACACGATATGGAAAAAAAAATTACATATATATGTGCATACATTGCCCCATTCCACTTTTATATGGATCGTAGTATTCCATGTATTTACTTAAATGTAATGAAAACGGACATTTAATTCGATTAGTTGAGTTCGACCCCCTCTCCCTCCCCAAGTACACAAACATATACGCGCGACCACTTTAAAATAATTACGTTTTCCGGAGAAGTGCCAACTATTTTCTGATTTTTAATGGTTGATTTCTGAAACGTTAGAAAACAATAATTGTATAATTCATTACAACAATTGTCCATTGTGCTCTCTCTCTCTCTCTCTCTTGCATACACATAAATGTACACTTTTAAATACAAGACACTATATAGGCGCATCACCTAGTAACTTGTTGCCTTTGCATGGATTTATACAGGGTATGAGTTTAGATTTCATCCATGCTATGAAACGTAACTTTCCTCAAATGAACACAGCGCACACTACTATATATACGTATAACCGCTGACGCATGACAAATGTGTTTCCTAACCCCATGAACCCGTCATTTGTATTTTGGCGTATTTTCTTCTATTTGTCCGCTTTTAATTACATTGTAAGTGATTATAGAAAATTAGACAGGAGAAATTATCTACAAAGTGATTAAAATACTGTCCGTTCTAGTATACACAAATACTTAATTTGTCCGATTTATTAATTTTAAACTAGGTTCAATAACTGGTCCCGGGAAAACTACCGAGATACGGGAAGTTAGGGCGAGTTACGTTCGTTCGTAAGATGTCGGTATTTCTCTATTGAGCGGAATTTAAATTCCACATCGTTCACAGGTTTCAGTGATATGCATTTTTTATGGACTCATAACAAACCCCACAAGGATTCAACGGGAAGAAGCCAGTTGAAATGCTTTTTGACGAGAAAGACGTTTCTTACTAATACAACTATGTTTTTAAAAATATTCCTATTTCAATATGGAATTGGAATATAAATTATATCCTTGTCCGCATCCAAACAGTGATTTTTTTTTTTTTTTTTTTTTTGGCAAGGTAATCTGTTAGCGAAGCGACATGCTTGTGATTCAATCTGGAGTGGAGTCACATAAATAGATATGTCAGCAACCTACGTGGGCTAGCTCTGTTATAAAAAAAAAACACATGGTACGCAGAAGAAAAAATTTTAATTGATTTGAAATAGCTCCTCCCCGTAATATGACCCAGACTACTTTTTTTTATTACTGAATTTTCTCCAAACTTAACCTAGCGCCCTATCAGTGTACCATAAATCTTGGGTTGCTGAAACAATAACGAGAATGACTTGATAACTTTGTGGGGATTTTTTATGCAAGTGTGTGCATTGTTTGTTCACAACTAACACAGATTAAGAATACATTATTTTGAGAGAACATATAGTTATGGTGCTTCACTTCTATTTAAGCTTTTATAAAATGACCAAGAAATTAGCTATAGAAGTGTTTTGCTCATTTTTAATGAAGTAAGCAATCATTAATATCTAATTGTAAACACTTAAACTTATTTAATTTTTGCACTTATTTTCTTGAACCCTTTTAATAATGCCAAACAAACCCACAAAATCTGATCGGTAACGTGTTATTTTACAGCATTATTGTGCTGTGCGATAAATTTGACAAATGATCGACGTTTATAGCCATGGGAATTACCTAAATGTTATAAAGTTCAGCAGTTGTAAACAGCAGAATCTTAATAAATAGATGGACTTGTTTATCTTAAATATTTGGTCAATTTATTAGCATAATCTCTTTGATGTTTCATGTCCAGATTCATTGTTGATATTTAGACCTTTTAAGCTGAGGGTTTAAGAGAGCTAATGTTAACTTGTCATCGTCTTTTCTAGAATCACTGGCCAATTCATCTGACTGGTCATACTTCACATTAATGTAAAAAAAAAAAAAAAAAAAAAAAAAAAAAAAACATAGCTCTAAGCATATTAGATATCTCCCCTATTGTGACCGTCTACTCGATCCATCTAGTTATGTTATTAGTCCCCTACCGGTGAAACCGGAGGGGACTATAGGTTTCCTCTGAGTCTGTCCGTCCGTCTGTCCGTCCGTCTGTCTGTCTGTCCGTCCGTCTGTCTGTCTGTCTGTCTGTCTGTCCCTCTGTCTGTCTGTCAGTCTGTCCCACTTGGTTTTCCGCACTTTTTTCCTAAATGCTTGCAGATATTGAGCTGATTTTTGGTATGTGAGTGTATTTTGATGAGTTACAGATCAAGTTTGAATTTCCTTCCGCTTCATTGATTTTTGACGGAATTACGGCCTTTTCAATTTTTACGGGTTTTCCGCAATTTTCTTCTAAACGCTTGTAGATATGGAGCTGATTTTTGGTATGTGGCTTTACCTTGATTAGTTATAGATCAAGTTCGCATTTCGTCCCGCTTCATTAATTTTTGACAGAATTATGGCATTTTCAATTCTTAACGGGAACCAGATTACATGCACTTGCCGGTAGGGGACTAGTATTGCTAATGCAATACTCTCAGAATGCTTGTTGATACGGGAATAGCTGAGTGTATATGCAGATGTTTTCACACTTGTATTAATGTCGCAACAAAATCAGGTCTATAGTATAATGCTTTACAACACATTTGGAATTGGGTTCACTTCCTTACCATGCACATCTAAATTCCGTATTTTATTTCGCTTTTTAATCTTGTAATTTCTTCTTTTTTTTTTCATTTAACAATTTTGTTCTTTATTTTGTAAATTTAGTTATTTTATTTATATTTTTTATTTTGCACTATTGGGCTTTCGGAATTAAACGACTAAAAGTGCGTTGTGAATAATTCACGGTAAAACGAGTCGTAAATAATTTAATATTATTAAAAGCGGGAAATTTCATAATTTAGAGACATTAGTAACCAGCAGGCAAACACTATAAAATCAAAGATGTACCTGAATCAGCCCTGTCTTTTCCAGTCCCCGGACGAACTGGTCTTTTTGCTCTGATTCCGGAGATTGGAAGAGCTGATCCAGAAAGTCAGCTAATGACCCTCCTTGAATAGCACTCAGACCTGGAATTCAGATAAATAAAGAAGGAAAATAGCAATTTGCACATCTATAAGGTAAATATATATGTAACGTCCGAGCAATTATCAGATAAATTAATTAGTCCATTTCTTATTGCAGGTAGCAATAATATGTAAAATATAAGTAAACGCTCAATGCGTAATCCAGGTATTTAATCGCTCCCGGCGATTTACTCCTGCTTTGGAAATCAAAAGTTAGTATCGGGTTAAATTTTATTTACACATAATCATAGTTAAGAATCATCCAAAATCAACACAATAAAACACTGTATAATTAATCCTGGAACAATTTTTGAGCGAAGTATCTCCCAACAGAACTATATGAAAAAACTGTCCTCGTATCAAATAAGTACCCGTATATATACTAAATGACCATCACTCCTAAGGAGTGATGGGGTATAAACAAATGACCGTCACTCCTAATGAGTGACCGGGAGTTATATAAATACTGCAGAATATTAAATAAACAAATAAAATAATAAATTTAGAAAAAAGGCTGACTTAAAAATACGTGACATATAATAATGCTGTATGACCTCCTTTTTGCTTAAAAATAGATATTGAATCCTTGTTCGATCATTTTTGCAAGATTTTTTGATATATCTCGGTATTTATTTTCTGCCATTATTGTTATTTATGCCAGGGTAAAAATAGTTAACTTTTACATTAATCCGTTGAGTTATTCTAAATTTTAATTTTGACTAACCTATTGTGATTCCAGCGTAATAATAGTAATAACGCGCCAGTGCCTCCTCGTCTAAGTGCAAGGTGACTATACCATTTGAAACTGACACAAGTTTCTCTTTGATGGCAGTGAGCATCAATTCGAAAAATTCCCTCCTAGGTCCACCATAATCTTCGGCGTTCTCCCCATGGAAGTTTACTTCCAAGGGATATCTGAGGTTTTCAAGATGCTGCAACTCCTCAATGGCATCCTGGAATATGTCACCGCGACTAACAAAATTAGAGCAGGTCTCTCCTTCGATGACCACCGACTCGTGGGATATATCCAGTGGCCGTCCCCTCATGTAGATGGACTGATATTCTTTAAGAATTTCCACTGGATCAGAGGACTGTGTTCTGGAAAAAAAAAATATATCAACTGTATGTGAGTGCATGGAAGTTCGGAATGAAGCATTCATTGAAACATGAATTAATACATGTAACTTTTAATTCAAACATACAAAACATGTGATATTTTAGCAATTTTTTTTTAAATGCATACCCATATCTTGTTTACTTTTAATTGTTTTCTTAAAGTATTGAAAATAATAATGTCAGTTAGAACACTTACTTTAAAACTTTTTCCGCCAAATATGACGGAATTTCTGATGGCATTGCATATGATCCCGGAACAGGCTCCTCCATGTCTATGGATTCTGTCACTCTACAATTAACAAATACATACATATTCATACATATATGAATGTCATGGTAATCGGTGCATATTTTAAACATTTATATTCACTTTTCCGAAACTATTTTTATCTATTCCTTAAGTAATAAGTTCTGATACAAAAATAATAAAAGACTATTAATTATCCGATTTATAAGTTTGACTAACCTAAAGAGCCGAAGTGTGTACGAATATATCATTCCCATTGTTATAGATTGCATACAATGAAATTGATCTTTACTCGATAGATAACTTTTTGAAAATAACCTGTTTTTCTCCCTAAAACGTGTCAGAAATTAATTTAAGACAATGAACAATATGAGTTGTCAACAGTTCATTAATCGCAGTGAATGTCTGTTATGGCCACGGCCCTCTCTTTTTGGCATATTTACGAATAGTCATGATTGAAATTGCCAACTTATGTTAAATGATTTGTTAAAAAATATCCATGCTCTGGCCATAGCTATATGCATACTTAACCCTCATATAGTGGCGTTGAATAAGGCATATTATAAAACTTGGCCTGGCCCTTCTGACCTGGCTTTGCCTCAAAGTTGGCCTGGCCTCTATTTTGGCCTCTAATTTGGCTCCAGACCTGGTCTCAAAAGTTGGCCTGGCCTCAAATTTGGCTTCTGTAAAAAATTGTTGGCCTCACACACCAAAAAAATTTCTTTTTCAGAATTTTGATTGATTTTATTGATATTTTATTGGTTTCAGTTTTCAAAGTTAAAACAGATAAATAATATATTTCTGTTGATTTTTAAATGTGTACGTTAAAATAATCATGATCCACCACCATCTGATTTATTTTATTGATTATCGATCAATCAGTTCTCATAGATTTCTTATTAATATGATTTGAAAACATTTCATACTGACGCACTACCAATAGTCTTGCTTGATTATTTACAACAGTGTTTCAAAGTTTATTTTGTATTTTCCAAAGTATGTACATTGAAAACAATCTCAAGATATATTCCAAAGGGACCAGGCCAGGTTTTATAGTATGCCGTTGAATCATTCACAGTATGGAGACAAAATGTCTTTGATTAAATTTATTTGAAGGGTTCTAACCATACAGCATACCAAAGAGGTTTCTTCGGTTAAATAATGATTATGAACCCTATCTGAATACTGACCCAGTTTCAGTAGTCCCTTTTTATTTTCATCTTCTTTAGGAGTGGAGGTCAAAGGCAATATTTCTGGTAAATCATCGGAGGACGAGGAATCGCTGATGATTTCAATATCCTCAGAATGTTGATTTGCCTCATAGTCAGCTTAAAAGATTCATCGTTGGAAACATCATTACCATTGTATTTAATATGCAGGTTATAGTTGAGGTTTGTGGAGCTCTTGAAAGTGTGCCAATATTTTAGTCTTTATACGTAAACCATTTTCCCCCTCTCTCTCTCACTTTCAAATACCTTTCGCTCAAAATAATTTGGAATTGTGCTATGAGTGTAAATTGGTGAATACAGTATTCCCTTACCTTTCGTACACAAAAATAATCTAAGCCTATCGAATCGTCTTTGAGGGTCAATACTGTCCCTGTAACCTTTAATTGAGAAGGGTTCGTCGGATCCAGGAATTTTGTTTACTATAGAACCATCCGGATATAATAAGTGGAATAGCTCATTTGATTTGTATTTTTGTCTGAACACTCTGTTTTGATCAGAAAATTTCTCAAAGGCTGCATTCTTTATATCATCTGACACGTTTCCTTCCTTGGAGAAAGGTCCAACTATCACCATTCCCCCGCATCCAGACAGACTAAGCGCAGACATCTTACAAAACACCCCATTTTTGAAATATCCATTTCCAACAGAAATCTGAAAAGGAATCAAATGTAACAGTTCAAATTTTTGGTCACTCCAAATAAATTAATACCTACTCGTAAACATCAATATTCCAAGATATGTCTGCACAGAACTACTTGTAACACGACTACAAGTTCGAAATGCAATTACAAAATGTACACGGATGGTTATTTCTACGATGGCCGACAGCGGCCGCCACCTTTGATTAAGAATATTGTAATTTTGTACAGCGTTTTTGTCAATTTTTGTTGACAAATTACAACTAAACTGGTAATGTTATATGTACATACAAAGGTTTACACTGACAATATACACCAGAGGAAATCATTAAACTTCTTTCAAGTGATATGAAATGTAGATACATAAAACAGGCGAGGTAATTCTAGATTAGTATTGGCTTCTAGCTAGATATGCTTCCTCGACAGATTGTAGTAATTAATTTAAAAAATCCCACGTTGGTGTACGTACTAGTCACATCATAGATAACCATTTTTTTCTGGGTCTATAAGAAATTTGATTTTTCTATATAGTGGGACGTGACGATGTCTTTGGTGTATGAATTATTTTTTTATTAATGTGCACAAAATAATTCATCATAGTACATGTATAGCTATTTTAATTGGTCGTGACACATAGAAAAATAATTAGTCGACCAGGTGGAATACTTTTGAGGCTGCGTTGGCCTTTAAAAGTGTTTCAAACACTTGATTATTAATTTTATATATTTAAGGAGCAAACACAGACTCCCACATTTAAGGTTGACATTTTATTCTTGTTAAAAAAACGGGTATATTTCCGTATCTAAAGTTTTGTTTTTGATACAATCCAAAAACTTTAGACTGGATGCTCTCATGTATAGCTGCTAAATCCTGTTGCTCTACCTCTGCATAATTGGTAGAATCGAGCTGTCTCATAAACTACATGTATGCGATACAGTACCAACCAGACCCAACCTGACACCAAAGCAGTCCCAGAAAGCAGTCCCCGGGACTGCTTTGGGACCGCTCTGGGACTGCTGTGGGACTGCTCTGGGACCGCTGTGGGACTGCTCTTGGACTGCTGTGGGACTGCTCTGGGACCGCTCTGGGACTGCTCTGGGACCGCTGTGGGACTGCTAAAGCAGTCCCAGAAAGCAGTCCCCGGGACTGCTCTGGGACTGCTTTGTGTCAGGTTGGGTCTGGCTGGTACTGTATATTGATGTGTATCCATAACAAAACTGTATTTATCCACATAATTGTGATAATCCTTAGATTTTTTTTAAGATGCAGCAAGAAAGAAAATGACAAATGACAATTTTACATCTAACATCTAGGGTACGATATCTCAGACTAATTAAGAGTGAAAAATCATTACAAAGCACCTTATCTCTTCCAAGTCATCTGTTTTATGTATGTTAATTTCATATCACAAGAAAGAATTTTAATGTTTTTCGCTGGAGGAAATTGTCAGTGTAAAAACTGTACATGTACATTTAACATACCAGTTTAGTTGTAATTTGTCAACGAAAATTGACAAAAATGCTGTACAAAATGACGGTTTTCTTAATCAGAAAGTGGCGGCCGCTATTTCTCTCCCCCCCCCCCTTAATTTTGTTTCAAATACGAAATAAACTTGCCATGACTTTATCTTGCTTTTTGCTCTTCTCATTTACGTGAACATGTCTGCTTGGCTGTCTAGATGCTAGTTGCATTCTGTACGACTGAAACATTCCAAATCTCGAAGAATTGTCTGAACAGAGAAAAATACAAACTTGATTTAACGACTCGATGGGGACTAAATAACTTTACAATGAGGATCTTTGACATTTTTGGATAGTAGAGGAATTGCTTTTATTAATTAACACTTTAGAAATAATTTGTCCCAAAGTAATTTACATCTTACAACAAACATTAATAGAAATAATAATAGAATCCAAGTGGATGTAGGCTATGTCTGTCCACTTCTCCAAGGAGAATATAATGACACAGTTTATTCTACCGAATAAAGTAGATTTTAAAAAAAATGATGTTTCTTGTGTCCAGGTTCTTGTTTGTAAGTCATGATTTTATTTTGCTGTATGTACTTGTATCTGTCTAATACTGTACGTATTTTACCTATCCGTAGTTGCCGAAATCCCCAAAAATTAAAAATGAATGGAGTTCTTATAACCTGATATATTTAATTTATGGATTAGTATTTACATCATCGGAATATTTAATCCATTATTTCCTATGAAAATCATGGCTATTTATCAATCAGTAAACGCCGTTTTCAGGCCACCTGTATAAAATCTTAGATAGTGTGCTTTAACTGCTTTTCAATCAATGAAACATACAATGATGTACCTACATGCAATATTGAACTTACTTTATAGGAGTATTTATAGAGACATAGATATAATCAATAAAATGTTTTTCTTTGATGGCTTATGCGGGTTGTGTATTTTTTCTGTTACAGCTACAATCGTGGATTCCAGTTCCAACAATCAGAGAAATTTTTTTTATTGTTTTTAAAAGGCGACTTTTTATTGTAAAAAAGTTATTGAATAAATATTATTTAAACTAGAAATTAAGGATTTTTGCTTTTGATAAAGATTAAAATGCATGCCTATCATCCAATCATACAGAGTATTACAAGTGAAATAGAAAAACGAGTAACGACCTCCGTTAAGGAAATCACATTGAATAATGGGATTGATAAAATAAAGCTCCTGGTTCATATCAAAAGTGTACACACTTGACAAAGATACTGGTCCACTGTTAACAACCAAATAAACTCGTCCTGACACTTGCCATCCGCCATTTGGTTCCAAGAAGACATTCTCTCGACAAAGTATATGGTGTTGTTTATCATCGTGATCTTCTTTAAACCTGACAGAAATTGCATTTGGAAATGCGCTTCCTGTTCGAAATGAAATGTCTAGCTTTTAAGTACGTTGTGCACTTTTAGAAAAATTCATTTCTTTATTACATTGAAAGAGTTAAAATATATATAAACATACGTAAGTCCTCTAGAGTTAGCTTATTATCTTCCGGGATTGGAAAATAAATTAATGTTTCCTCTTCATCATCCAAGCAGCGAATTGGAATATTAGACCTGATAATTATACATAAGCATAAAGAATTAATTAAAATAAAGTTATGGGGTTCCAACTTGTTATCTGATTGGTGTTTAAAGGTAAACATTTTTAAAAAAAAAATTCTTAATCTTTTAAATTTAATAAGGCTGACTGTAATATTAAGCAAAAACTTTTGTTCCAGAATGATGTTTCTATAGCAATAAATATCTTGGACTTCATCTAACTGTTTTCATGCAGCAAGATCAGGCTCCGGGGCCATAAAACTTAGATGAGCTCACTTTTGGTTTGAACATATTTTATTGTAATTTCTAATTACAAAGGGATTGGGCACAAGTTCTAAAAACTTATTACGCCCTCTCCCTACATGTAAATTACAAAGATTAAATTAGTTGAATATGTACATTCAAAGTATTCAATATTTGCAAAATTAACAAATCAATGCATTTAAAAGAATCATGCATATAATTTTATAAATACATGCATATATAAATAAAAATATTTATGTTAATACTAATACTAACATGTGAATCTGCCAGAATGTTTGATAAATGTTTGAACAATAGAGAAAAGACATTCATTCTTCACAGCACTCAGTGATTCTATACCCCATAATAAGACATGTGTATCTAAAATGTGAATTTTATCAAATAATAAAAAAATATCTAAAAATTCCTTTCTGGCTTTTTTATACTTTTGACATACAAAAAAATAATGATACGCACATGAGTATAAAGGGCTTGAGATTAAATTGCGTCTGTAAAGGTCATTATTTAATGAACAATTATGTCGAAGTCTGGTCTGGAGAACATTCAGTTGCCAGTTACCATATTCAAAATATGTTGATGGGGCAGATTTTTTAATACTTATTTTAGATTTAAAATTTGACATCAATTGTAAGTTTCTTTTTTCAAGTGGTAATGAGTTCCATTCATTAACTACAGTAGGAATAAACGATGACTTATTAATCTGTAATCTACATTTCGGAATATCTTAATTTTGAACATTTCTAGTAGAATAGTTATAAGTATTACGTCGCATATCTGGAAGTATGTCCATTAGATAATCCGGTACTAAATTATCATACATTTTAAAAATGCTTACTTTTGATCTAAGTCTCAATTTTCCACTATAAATTCCTTATGTAAAAGTGAAACTGAGATCAAAAGTGAGCTCATCAAAGATTTATGGCCCCGGAGCCAGACCTCTTTAAAGAAAAAGCTTTGAAAGCATATTTTAAAATTGAAAAATATAGTTTTATTAATTCGAACTCAGGAACTGTGGTTACGTAAACATTTATAAACATTCGTCTGGAATGTAACCTGTTAAAATTTTGGCCATAGAAGATCACTATGTAGACTAAAAATTTTCTTTCAAAAGTTACAAATTGAAGTGGGTAGGTTCACTAATATCCCTAGATGATCGCTTACATGTATGTATCAGATATAATTCTACCACTATAAATATTGAAACCCATATCTTTATAACATGTGAAAAAAAAATCACCAAAGAAAAGAAATATTTCGAGTAATTAAAATCAAATTTATTTACAAATTCATTCAGATAGTGAACAAAATGTATTTGGTTGTTCAGTAGTGAAGACAAGGAAAGTCAATTTATTAAATATAACATGTTATAGTAATCATGTACTTGTACAGATTATTGTACTTTTTTAAAAAGAATAATTTTTGTCACAAGATCAATTAGCAATGCTATGTACTATTTGTTATACTTTCCATTGGCATGTCTTTTCCTGATTATTGTAACCATTTCACATTTATTTATTTTGGGCTCTTACTTACAAATAAATATTCTGTTCTGTTCTATTATCTATTTCGGACATACTTATAACAGGTTTACAGGTTTATTATGCAGGTATTTTTTTTTCTTCATGCCGTGTTTAGAATATTACATTGGAATGCTAACGAGTACTATATAGATATTTGTAACTATTTATAAAATATCTCTCCTCTTTCTCTCTATCTGAAGTCAAAGAAAGACAACTTGTCCGTTACGACTAGGAGGAGTGCAAGTAATTTGCTATACTGTTTCTGTGTGTGAGTGAATCTCATTTTCAATTACTTTATTATATAAAATGATCCTAAATCGGA